TCATCCCTTCCCGGCTTCCCGGCTACATACGGCTGCGCGTACGTACATCACCATAGATTATCATTTGGCACGCCCCGGTATCACCTTGATTCTCTGGTATGTTTTGACTTCATAGGATTGTGTTGTTTGTGATGCCTTACTTTCCTCAGCAAGTGCAGAAAAGCAGTTTCAGTTGTCTTATCGCTTTAGAATCGCTTTGTCGTCTGCTTCGTCGTCGTTGGCTTCTTCGTCTTCGTGAACGCGTGAGACCACTGCCGTTCACGGGGCAATCCCACTGCGGTCGCGGAAAAAAATAAAACAAAAAGCAACGGCGCCACTACTCGAGCATTCCGACTCCTCGGACGTCTCAATTACCTTGCAAACAAGTGAACATCTAGTGCAATAGCAAAGAACAAGAAAATTCGAGGGACCATCGGCTCGGTGTAGCACCACGGAACAGCATCAAATGCGATGAAAAACTGAGCTTGGCGGTGCTCCGTCTTGTGCATAACGTTTAATCAGCCATCAAGTAAGAGGAGCTAAATAGACTTTCTTGGTCAGCGATAGTTTTCTAAAAGTTGTTTCATTCTGGTTGACAGCCTGTGCGACAGAGTACAGATGAACCGCGGGAGAAGCCTGCACACAAAAAAACTGATCTACAGAAAGGCCACGCGCCGTAATAATTGGCATCTATAAAAAAAAATAAAAAAAAACCATGCCAGATACCTAAAAGCTTGGGGTGGAGATGATTTTTCGTACACAATTTCTATTCAGTTTTATTTTGTTTGCGCAAGATCCGAACGCTAACAGTCGCCCGACGGGGGAAGCTTTTTTCTGCGGTCTCGACTGGTGCTAGTGCAGAACACCAGCCTAATAGACCGCCACAAAATGGATGAGGTTCGTTTGTTACATTTTTGGCGGTAAGTACGTGTTGCACTTCTAAATTGTATTATGTTATTTTTTTCGCGTTGGTATGGAAAAAAAATAAAGGCTGCTTCCGAAAAAAGTTGTTTTATATCACGTGGTGCATATCGGGAATCGCTGCTCTTTTGTAGTGATTGTCCTGATCTTTTGAAGCACAGTTGTCCTTGAAACATGTGGTCGCAGTAATAGTTATAACCACCAAAATACACCGAGTAAGAAGTGTATTAAAAACGGCCTCCGCAAAGCAGTGCGGAGGTCCTATTTGAGATAGACCAACGAATAGGCCGCTACGGAGCAAATGGTTAGAGAGATTCCAGCTTACGGAACACTTCGGCACGCTCTATGTCTCGTGCCCTGCAATCTTACATATTTTAGCTGACGTGCAATAATTGGATGTAAATTATGAAGCAAACCGCGAAACAAATCGTAAAACGCTATTTTTCCTGCCGCTCTGTCGGGCTCTGTCGACCTTTCTTTGCCATGCTTCTTTCTTGCGGGAAGACATAATATCCGTGGCCTTTTTGCCTGGTGCTGTTATTATAGCTCGTGGCATACATCATGTGAAGCCACCGATTGAAAACCATGAGTCAACACCTGGCTAAAAGTCTCGTGCTAACCCGAAAATTTCCAAATGCCGGGCGTACAATGCGCGCCGACGCGGCCGGAAAACTGGGGAGAACTACAGGTACCAGAATGCACCGCGGCAGCGGTGGCGTCGCGCAACTCCTCGTGAGATCGGTCTATTCGTCCCGATTCGAAGAATGGGGCGAAAGTCCCCGTTTGTCGAATTGTCGAAAAGAGTTGATTAGGGTTGGGTGTGTAGATTACCGGTGACAGTGGGGGTCAACAGTGAGACCTTCTTTTCAAAAAAGTGAGGATGACAAATGCAGCTCTCAGAATTGGCAAGGGTCCGATTGTGAATCGTACCTGGGTTATTCAAGATGATAAATGTCGGGTTCTTCGTGAGTATGTTCACTCGCAACTCTAGCATTATGGAATTTGGGAAGACCGAGCGAGGGGCTGACCTCCTGATGCAGTGGTCATATGTACACTTGTAATGTACGCATATGAATAAATAACGGTCGCACTGTCGCAGCGGCTCTGTGACAGAGTTAGAACCAGTTGAAATCCGATCGCAGCCTTGGTATGCTACCTGGGCGCGTATCGGTGCGATTGCTGCATGCCACGTGACCAGGAAAGGCAGAAACGATGGAAGCCAACCCAAAAAAGTATTGTAATAATTATTAATATTACCTACTTGTTGCTTAATATATGGTTCAATGCGACAGCAATCGCTTTGGTGGCCGAAGCATGCGAAAGTAATCGTCGCGATAAGCGTCAATGTGCCGAATCCTCCAGAGAATCACCGGACAAAAGCTTACCACTTGGGGACATTACCTGCACAAAAGCTTAATGAAAGGAACGTTGTATTCTATCACTGATTTTGATATGAGGATCTAATTTTTGTTTCTGGGGACCGAGAAGTCGTATCAGAAATGTCTAAAACTTTTACGTTCGTTCTGTAAAAAAGAAGAAAACAAAAACTACAATTTAGAGTAATTACAAATACTACACCGACTTCACCTAATAATAATTATAATACTAAAAATTCAATCAGGCGCTTTTCTCCCATGCGAGGGACATCATCTTTGCGGGACTAGGGACACGAATAAGAAAAATACAGCAACTCGTACAATACGGAAAAACGATGGCTGAGGACGCTCGTGGGTCCCACATTTGTTTCCGCTCCAGAGGTACGACCTTCTAAAATCAAACGCGTGACAGGTTGTCAATGGTCAACGAGTTCGGTCTTTGATCTTGTGGCATGTGTGACCTTTTAAACGTCTTTTTTTTTTTTTTAATTATAGAAATCATCTTTATATCTAGATATATAAAACGAACAATAAATGAATTGTTTTTGGGATTTTATGAAGTCTACAAAATATACGAGCATAATTTTAATTTCATTTTGGGGACTTCACAGAGGCAACATCATTGAGACAAGCTCAGCGGCATACCAAAATAGCCGTGCATCAAAAATCCCGGTACTGAAAAGCCCGGTGCTGAAGCGATCACATACCGAAATGTTCGCGTACCGATATCTCCGCACCGAAATGTCCGGTTCTCCATTTCATCGAACGCATTTTTCACCGCCGTAACTATCTGTAATCCTACAATTCAACAAAGAAATGTCTTCTAAATTCTTTACAAGGTTCATTCTATATCCGTTGGATATTCAGACTTGTTGGACATTCAGGCTCGTTGGACATTCCGTCTCGGTTGGATTTTTCGTCTCGATGGATATTCAGGCACGTTGGACATTCCGTCTCGATTGGACCTTTCGTCTCGTTGGACATTCAGACTCGATGGACATTCCGTCTCGATTGGATCTTTCGTCTCGTTGTACATTCCGTCTCGCCTGTCACGTGACCGATTGGACATTCAGGCTCGTTGGACATTCAGTCTCGTTGGACATTCAGGCCATAAGCGCTGGTCTGGCGAGTCAAAAGATCCAACGAGTCATAAGATCCATTATTGGACCTTTTGACTCGTTGGATCTTTTGACTCGTTGGATCTCTTGACCAGAAGCGGTCAGAAGAGGGCTTTTCAGCGACTCAACCCCCTCCCCCCCCCCCCCCACTGCCCCCCCCCCCCAAAAAAAAAAAATAATAATAATGCTGCGCAAGCAGTTCCCGGTGTATAGCATACACAGTCGATCATGAATCACAAAGGAATAAGAAACGCAAGAAGCGACCCGGAGACCGAGAGAGACGACGACGACTTGACTGGCGACAGGGCTAGTGCAACGGTGGAACGATCAAAACCGAAACCCTACAGGCCGCTTCATTTTAACAACGCGTCCCGTATCGTGGCATTTCGCCGCGATGGGACGCTTCGATATATGGAACGTCTTTTGTCTGTACACGAAAAGTGTCCAATCCTATATAAATGCATAATAATCAAGGACGTAAGAAACGATTATGTTTTGTTCAGCTATATTTGTTGTCACATCAGTTGATTGTCGTTTGACATCCTACGACATCAATTGGTTGTTGTTTTGACTTGGAGGGGCACTCAAGCGCTTCCTGAGATCGTCTATTGTGATTGCTCAACCTGCGGGCTCTAAGCATCCTCAAAATTCAGAAATTAGTGTTATAGGCGGCCGATCTCCTTAATAAAAATCGAATGAAAAATTGTGACACGCGGATCTTTCTGCGCCAAAGAGCAGACACCAGGGGGCACCGTCGGACGGCGTTTTGAAACAATACTTTCTCTGTTACATCTCTTACACCCAAAGATAAGACGTTTGACAATATATAATGCACAACGCGCCTTAAAAGATCTATATTAGTAACGCTCGGAATCTCAACGCAATTAACTATTTTTATTGGTCAAATTGTATGGAGGTGGTGGGGACGCTAGATGGCCCCCCAAGAGCAAATAGTGCCCTTGTATTTCTATTGCTGTGGCTGTACTATGACATCTTGCCATTTTAGAACTGGTAATTTTTATTGACTACGGTGCGGCAAACAATATGCCATCAAAAACTAGCTTCTGCAAAAAGTACTTGAGTGCGCCCCCTTGAAGATGACACTGAGTACAATCACCCATATTTATTATTTGCATCCAAAGTCAGCCGTCGCCGCACCGCTCCCTGTGGAGTGAAGTGAGCGTGCCCCGATCCTTTTCTCGCCGAAGGTAAGTTTCCGCATGAGCGCTCGGAAAATCTCAACTTCTCTGGAAACCAGCCTCAGCTCGGACCCCAGAGGAGGACGACGCATCCAGCAGCGTCGCCCGTTTCTCCTCGACCACTCTCTTCCGCGGTCGCCACTTTCCTCTATTTCTGGCGAAATTAGGGGCCCGTCGTGTTTTCGGGGGCCCGGCCGTCCGCCCCGAGGCCAGCATTGTTCCTGGCCTCGCGGAAGGACGCGTCCGTGAGGACGCGCTCCAGTGATTGCGAGTGCAACCTCGAGGAAGAGAAACGTCGTGATTTTTAGGCCGCCGCCGCCGCTGCTCTCCGAAATTGCTCAGACGGAAAGGTATAGCCCAGCGCCTATAAAAGAGAGCGTACTCTCGCTGTCCCAAATGCTTCCACAATGGCGACAGAAAAGAGCGGGAGCTGTCTCACGCGCGTTGGGATTAGTGGGCTCAGGTGGCTCTTCTTGGCCGCGGTGCTGCTCTACCTGGTCGGGCACAGCTCAGAGAAGAAGCTGCTCAAACTGGCCCTGGCAGCCGGGCTGGCGGGGGGCACGACGTTCATCCCGATCCCGCTGCCACTCCGCAAGGACGTCTATACGCCGAAGCTTGTGCCCATAGCGCAGATGTACCCTGTGCCGTACCCGTGAGTGGCTGCCATCGCCTGCTGAGTTACCCTGCTTTCTCTAAAGACCTGGGAGCTATAGAGCAGTTCGACCTAAAACTTCCCTGCATATCTCACGCTTCAACATTAACTCGCCACAGCCTCGTGTTATTACGAAGGTAGATTTAGACTGCCCCGTGTCTTCATGCTAATATGTGAAAGCGATCATATTGATACCTGTAGTCGGTGACAGGTCAAGAACGAAGTGGAAGCACCTCCCAACTCTTTCCACTTTAGCAGAGTGAACGTTAAAAAGGAGGCGACCTCCTCTCCAGCGTTGGTTATGCTAAAGTGGAAAGAGGTGGGAGGTGCTTCTACTTCGTTCTTGAACTGTCATCGACTATGGTCAACTCTTCGAACGTTCTGCGGCTAATGAAACGTTCGCACCTACTGGTGATCGTGTCATATTCCTCTTCGTTTGTTCTTAATTCGTGGTAGACCACAGCTAAAACTACGGGTCACCAGGTCCAATCTAGAGCTGGTTCGGAACCACGTGGCATATGACTACGGCAAGCCTATCAGTGCGCGTGTCTCCGCGCTGATGTGTTCGTCATGAAGCCATGAGGTTTCAGACTGACTCAGGTTTGGAGCAAGGTGACCTTGACAATGGAGTATGGTAAGGTGAAATTAAGTATAGTACGGAGGTGCCGGCTTCTCCAGTTCGGCACTCGTACGCCAGCCCAATGTTTCTCCACAGTTTAATTTTCGCCTATCTTATTGACCCCTTTATTTCAGCCCGCTACTGTAAACTCTAATAAAATATGTTTCCTAAGGCACGCAGCTACTTGTTAAATATAATATATTGAAGGCAGACCAGATATATCACTTCAAATTATTTCAATGGATCTACAAAAACAACCTCTATTTGACACAGACACCTCCTTCTAGTGCCTACACATTACGAGACCCGAAACGTAGAATCCCAAGCATACGAACAAATTATGGCAGGCAAAGTTTATCGTACATGAGTACTAAATTATTAAATTCCCCTGGCATTGATGTTAATTTCACTTCCCCTTTTCCAAAGTTCAAAAGAGACTGCAGACGAGCTCTGGTTTGCAGTGATATCGCATTTTCATCTATTTAAGGCATGCATATCTATTTATATTTATTTTCAATAAAACGTAACGTACTACGAAACTTCGGAATTCTCAATTTTGGCTTTGTAGCCTGATTTTTGGTTTTCATTTAGCTTGTTTCCGCTTTCTCTTATAAGTCCTTGTTTATAAATGTCTAGTGGATATGAAAAAAAAAAAAAAAGGTGTGTATTTTTGTCTTTATCTTTATTTTTATTTTATTTGACTTCTGGGTTATGATAAGCATATCGCCCCGCATTGTTCAAGCAGTGCCGCTTGTGTAGTTGTTTGAGCTGAGTCATTGTATTTCATGTGTTTTCAGATATTTCTATAATAATTGTTTCGATTTGTTTTTATGAAGATGGCTGTCTTGTTATTTATTATCACTATGAATTCTTTGAAATGCTATTTCCGCTGTATGAACTGCAGGGGGCAGAGGCGCTGTCAGGCATCATGCCTTTATCTCTGCCCCCTCTGCGGATTGAAATCCGCAAAACCAATAAAGAAAAAAAAAAAAAAAAGCTGCTCCAGTAAGGCATTATGGCATCCGTCACCTGAAATTGTTTGTAATCGTAAATACACAGCCAACCTAAATATCTTACTATTATATCTTTGTTTTTGTGTGTGGAAGTAAAGTTATTTATTTTACTCTAGATGTAAAATATACCGGAAGGTACAACTTCACACTGCATCATCTTTTCTCAAATCATTAGTCTCTAATATGATACCACTTTGCACGCTTATGTAAAATGCTGTATATACTTTCTCCTCCCTTTTACTGTGTGACCGATCGCTCTTTTTATCAATGACCTCATCTGAATAAACGTATATAAAAGAAAAAAAAATCGACAGCAGGGATGAAGAGGACACTGTCTTATTGTTGGCGGGTTCATGAATCATAACGAGCCTAAAAGCGCGAAGACGCTTACGTAACAAACATTCTACACGCGGGCTATTTGCACTAGACCTCTATAGGTGTTTCATTTACGAGATTGGTATGTTATCGGACAAATGTTTATCCTCGTTTTACTTGACCCATTTAACACTAATTATATGCAATTCTATCCCAAGGTACACGTTTCATGCAAAACAAAGTTGTTTTTCTTTCGTCTGACAAATAAACCTTCCAAGAACCACTTCTTGCAGCGTATAGAAACAAGGCGCCAAACCTGTTTGTTTCTTTAGATATAGCTTTTGTACACTGCGCAGCAGTGTGGGGCGAAAGTAAACTTCGGGCAGCATTTTCACGATACTCGTCTGCGCAGGGTGTACACCCACGAGCACGTGCACCACGACTCCAAGCACGAACATATCAACCACGGGACGAAGCACGAGCACGAGCCCAAGAGTAAAGTCGTTGTCCTCAAAGGAGACCACGGAGGCCACGGAGGAGGCTACGGGGGCTACGACGGCGATGACTATCGGTGATTCTTGCTCTGCTCGTCCCACCCTTTTTTGTACATATTTTTCTTTCATCTGTTTCGTACTTCGCGCCTAAGTTAATAATAAAAAGTCATTATGATACTGACTGTTTTTGTTGACCGGCATTGCGGTGACCATGCAGGCCCGCTGTTCCGTGCGGAGACCGAGGACATTGGCGACTAAGGCAAAATGTGCCAACATTATTTCTACGTGAAATCGGCAAAGAAAAACGTACTTCCAAGTTTCAACTTTAAGGTTTTATTATTATATGTTTTATTTTATTTTAACTTTGACCAAACATTTTTAATTTTAGGTTTTATTTATGCAATAAAAGAGCGCCAATTGTAAGTTTTACGAACTTTTTGTTTTCGATTTATTATTTATTGACGAAGCCAAGGGGGCAAAAAAATGTTCTTACACCTGTCGGTGAAGGCATATTTGACCGTTCACTATTTTGTTATTTCTCACACTACTCCACTAGAACTATTCTGGGACACTATCAAAATAGACCCATTCCTGCTTAATGAACTAAAAAAAAAATTACAAATACTTTTGAAGCAAATTGTTAAATTATTTTTCTGTTATAATGTTTGTAAAAGTTTGCCAAGATTTTACATTTTATTTAATATATCTCATTTTCCTTGATATCACTCGAAAGCTCATACTTGAGAGTTTTTATTGCATAAATGCAATGTTATATATATATATATATATATATATATATATATAAATACAATAATATAAATTTGATTGAGAGGATTTTTCGAACGCCTAGCAAATTTAAATCCGATTTTCTAAAAAAAATTGTATTTGCTTTATGTTTATTAGCTTTATGTTCTATTAGTTGCAAGCTATAGTTGTGGGTTATCACAAGATATGAATACAAAACATAGCACTTGGTTTGTATGTCTGCAGGTAAAGCTTGAAACTTGCCAGTTGCGCGTTTTGTCTGCATCGTCGCATGGGTGATATTCTGGCCAAAGTTGTTGCATGGATATGGTTAATCACCTGGTTAAAAATACATACCTTCAAATATCAGCTTGAAATATTTTAAAGTGTATTCATCGCGGAGTAAAGCTTTTTTTTTTTCTTCTGAAATAAGCTTGCCTTTTTACAACGCAAAACTACCAAAATTTAAGCTTATTGTCCGGTTATGCACACAATTTGCCTTTTATTATGCATATATATATATATATATATATATATATATATATATAGGTGAAGCAAGGTGAATGTAAAAACAATGGACCGGGAAAAGTTAACAAGTCAAAGATGCGTACTGTCGGAGTTACTAATTTGAAGTTTATTACGACGTTTCGAGCGGGGACCGCTCTTCATCAGGTGTATATATATAGACAATTGCAAGCATGGCGCCACAAGTGGTGCCCCATGCGTGCAAGTGCGTGCAACGCGCGGGTGAACGCAGCTTTCGCAAGCTCGTAATCGCACGGGCGTGCCTGCTCGAGCAGAGACATGGCGGCGGCCAGTCGCCCAGCTTGCAATCGCCTATAGACGCTTTGCACACGCGCCAGATTGAGCCGCCATTGCTGACCTTCTCCTGTTTTACCGAGATGCCGAGCCACCGAAGCGGGCGTTTAGGAGCCTCCAAAGAGGTCTATGATGGGGAAAAGGACGCAGTAGCACCTAAAGTCGCAATAACCTGTTCTGCTGTGGCAATGATGACGTGAAGCGAACGGAATAAGAGGAAACAAAAACTGAAGGTCGCTTATGGCGGCGCCCATGCACAGCTGCTGCAAAGCGTCTATATATGTAGCGACCAAAATTCAACATGCCAGAGTACCGCGCACAAGCGCGCGCATCTGGCAACGAGCCAAGCAGGAGCAAGGCTCGAGTGATGAGCAGCTTGGCATCATCACCGGCGCGAAAGAACGCTGGTCGAGCTGCAGCAACCGGGCATGGATCTTCTTATCCTTAGACTGACCCGTATTTACCTTTCAACAGAAATATGTAAATAATAATGTATATATCATTCGTAATATATATATATATATATATATATATATATATATATATATATATATATATATATTATATGGGTGTTTTCATCGCAAATCGTGCAGGCAAAAAGGGTCAAATTTTTAATTTCGCTGAAAAAAATATATGTTACGGCGTCGTCTCTAAAAACGCAGTAGCCACAAATCGCAAGTTCGTCGGATTTTTCGTTCTCGACTTACGAATTTTCAAAGAGGCCGCGGCGGAAAGCAGTGTTTTTCACATGCGTCGTGGGTCGGATGTTTCGCTCAACCTCCCGCCGTGGATTTTCAGTCCACATTATATTAACTTTTTGCAAGCACTCTGCGAGAACATTTAAAACGCTTTAATACCATGAAATAGTTGTAGGCGTTTTGTTTTTCTATAAAAATTTCAAAAATGCCACCTCGGTGAATTGTTCAAGAATTTGACAATTAAATACTGGCGATTTACTTGGGTTACATCAATATTTTTTTTGTCCACGGAGAGCCCAAAACATGCTCTTCATATTGTAAGGCTCTGGATAGATGGATGGGTTCAATACAATGAATGAAGTTTGATTAAGATGGTGCGTCCACGGTGACCGTTCGATGCAGGTCCGAGAGAGCTCAGCACTTGCACTGCCGTCTCAGCCCCGCTTCTTCTTTCTTCCTGACAGTATACGTCCCTCGAAAAAAAGGCCGATCCACCGGTCGCAGATGTTATGGGACTTCACGGTAGTAGGGTTTGAGTCTCGCAATGTGGACGATATCGGTTGATTTAGACTGGTGGCGGTGCAGTGGATGTACAGGTGTGATTTCGTAGTTTGTGGAGGACAGCTTACGAGAGATTCAAAATGGGCCCTTGAAGCGTTTCTCAAGTTTTTCGCACCTTCCAGTCTGACGAAAAGGTGTCCAGACAAGAACCTCGTCGCCAACATTGTAGTAGACGGGAGGGTGGTGCTCGTTGTGACGAATGATCTGTTGTTGTTGAGATTGCGAATGCGTGAGAGCTGTCGAACTTCTTCAGCATGAGAAAGGACATGTTGGAGGTATGTGTCGAGAGAAGTGTCATCAATGTACGGTAACAGCGTGTCGATGGTGGACATCGGTTCCCGTGCATATAAAATATAGTAGGGTTAATATCCTGTAGTAGCCTGCCGGCTGGTGTTATAGGCATATGTTACGTATGGCAGAATAGCGTCCCAATTATCCTGGTCATCTGTAAGGTACATCGAAATCATATCGACTAGGGCGTGATTAAATCGTTCTGCCAAGCCATTCGTTCGTGGATGGTAGGCAGTGGTTATATGATGAATCGTGCTTGCGAGGCGGCAGACTTCTTGAACAAGGGTCGCCATGAAAGGTGTTCCTGGGTCCGTGATAATGGATCGAGGAGCGCCGTGTCTTAGAAGAATGTTGTATAGAAAGAAATCTGCTGCATAAAAGGCTGTCGCTGCCGGGAACGCCTTTGTTTCCGCGTATCGTGATAGGAAGTCAACTGCTACAATCATCCACCGATTTCTTGCTTTTGTTTGAGGAAAAAGGCCAAGGAAGTCAATTCCAATGCGTTGAAACGGTTGGCGGGGTGGAGAAATTGGCCGGAGACGTCCGGGAGGCGGTTGTGTGGGTCTTTTTTTTTTTGGTTTGGCATAAGTGGCAGGCTCGCACATATTTGTTAATTGTTCGCTGCATGCCGGTCCAGAAGAATTTGTCACGAGTTCGAAAGTACGTTTTAGAAAATCCGAGGTGCCCGGCTCTGGGATCGTCATGGTGAGCTTGAATTCTGTTTCTTTGTAGGTGACGGGGTACTACGAGAAGCCATTGCCGTCCTTGGGGTTCATAGTTGCGTCTTTAGAGAACGTTATTTCGAAGAGAAAAGAGGCGGGCACGTCGGTGAACATACTGAGGGCAAGATGTTGTGGAACCTTTCAAGTAATGGATCAGTGGCCTGAGAGAATTGTCAGTGAGCTGCGCTGATGCCATGTCGAGATAAGAAAGGGGCGCGTTGCTGGGGAGAGGACACCGAGATAGACTGTCGGCGTCGAGGTGTCGCTTGCCTGATTTCTATACAGCGGTAAAGCGGTATTCTTGGAGTTTCAAGGACCAGCGGCCAAGGCGTCTTCATGGGTCTTTTAGGCTGGCAAGCCAGCATAGCGCACGATGGTCGGTGACAATACCAAAGGATGATCCATATAAGTAAGGACGAAATTCGGAAATTGCCCAGATAACTGCTAGGCATTCCTCTTCTGTTGTTGAAAAATTGCGTTCGGCTTTGGGAAGGGTTCGGCTAGCACATGCGATGACACGCTGCTGGTTGTTGTGATGTTGAGCAAGAACAGCACCTATTCCCTCTCCACTGGCGTCGGTTCGGATTTCGGTGTCCTGACGTTCGACGAAGTGACCAAGAACAGGGGCTGTGGTCAACGCATTTTTTAAGTGTTCAAACGACGTGTGTTGATCTGGGCCCCATTGAACAGAGACGCCATTGCGCAGCAGTTGATTTAAAGGTTCAGCAATGTGAGAAAATCGATGAATAAATTTTCGAAAGTAGGTGCATAAGCCTAGAAATGTCCGCACATGTTTGACGTTTTGTGGAACAGGGAGTTCTGACGCGACCCGTACCTTTTCAGGATCTGGGCGTACTCCATCGGCACTGACTATATGGTCGAGCACTTTGATTTCCTGGGCGCCGAAAGTGCACTTTTTGCTGTTCAATTGGAGTCCAGCAGTACGAATGCATTCAAGAACTGTTGGGAGTCGTGAGATGTGTTCCTCAAATGTTGGAGAAAAGACCACAATATCGTCGAGATAGCAGATACAAATATTCCAAGATAAGCCACGGAGTAGAGCATCCATCATGCGCTCGAATGTGGCAGGCGCATTGCAAAGCCCGAAAGGCATAACGTTAAAATGGTAAAGGCCATTATACGTTATAAAGGCGGTCTTAGGTTTATGACTAGGGGCAAGAGGAACTCAATTGCCAGTTACCGCTTCGAAGGTCCATTGATGAGAAGTAGGACGAGCCTTGTAGCT